TCTTCGCGACGGACAATCTCGAGCAGCACGGCGGCGTCTTCTCGGGCAAGGTGTTCGCGAGCCTCCTCGTCGTGCTCCTCGCGTCCACGCTTCTGATCGCGCTCTGGCTGATCATCCTCGCGAACTTTAGCGGCGACGACTTGCGCTCCTGCTTCGTGGGATCGCGGCGCGGCCTCCTCGACGTCCGCCGCTCGCTGTCGGGGCTGGTCGCGCCGCGGAGCCCGAAGGACGGCGGCGGCGAAGACGTCCCGGTCGAGGCCGGCGCCGTCCAGGCGGAGCCCGTCGCCGGGATCTGAAATCCTACTTGTACTTGTATGTTCCCATGTTAATCCCATGTATGATAACGTCGCGCATGGCACGGCTCAAACTTGGATGCTCCCCGACGCGCGTGGTTCCCCGCGATCCCCTTCAATAACTTCGTCAACGACACAGATTGCTTGACCTTTCCCCCTCTGCAATGGACGTCGAGAGGCCTTGGTGAGCGTCGTCGCGACGCGGGCGGCGCGGTCCGGCGGCGTGTTCGAGAGCGTCTCGAGCGTCGCGGGCGTCGCGGGCGACGCGGGTGTCGCGGGCGACGAGAGCGCCCCGCGAAGAGACGATGGCCGCGGCGCAGCCGACGGTGATCCTGCGGCAGAAGAAGACCGACGACGGCACCCAAAAAAAACAAGCGCCATTAAAGCTCTCCCTGCCCGCGAGCTGGATCGACGCGCCGTGCCTGAAGCTGCTGGACACCTGGGGCAAGAGGAAGAAGCTGCGGAGCGAGGCGCTGTGCCTCGAGGCCGGCGACGGGACGCCGATCCCCGAGGAGTGGCCCATCGAGGCCGCGCTCATGCTCTACGGCGAGGAGGACGACGACGAGGTGCCGCACGCGACGCTCTTCGTCGCGCCGCGCGAAGAGGCGGACGCGCTCCGGGCCGCGGCGACCGCCGAGGCCGAGCAGGTCTTCGAGGAGCGCGAGCGCGAGGCCGCGGCGGAGGGCCACGCGGGCGCGGCGGCCGCGCGCGTCGCCGACGCCGCGCGCGACGGTTTGGCGCGGCGCGCGGCCGCCGCGTACGACGGGGGCGACTTCGTCGACGCCGCGGCGCTCTACGGCGAGGCGCTCGCGCACGCGGCGCGCGCGTCCAAGGTCGACTGGCCCGGCCGGTCGGCGGCGCTCGCGAACCGCGGCGCCGCGTGCCTCATGCTCGGCCGCTTCGCCGAGGCCGCGGCGGACTGCGGCGCGGCGCTGAAGCTGGGCGCGCTCGCGCGGCCGGACCGCGTCGCCGTGCGCTGCGGCCGCGCGCACCTGCGCCAGGGCCACTTCGGGCGCGCGGAGAAGAAGTTCCGGAGCGTCGCCGCCGACGGCGCCGCGGCGACGGGCGACGGCCGCGACGCCGCGCTCGCCGACGCGACGGACGCGGCGCGCGGCGCGGACGAGGCCGCGGCGGCGGGCGCGGCGATCCGGCGCGCGCGGCGCGAGCTCGAGTCCGCGGAGACCCACGGGCGCGACCGCCACGAGAGCTGCCTGAAGCTGGCGCGGAAGGTGCGGGCGGTCGCGCCCGCGTGCGCCGAGGCCGCGGAGCTCGCGTTCCACGCGCTGTGCCGGCTCAAGCGCTGGGACGAGGCCGGCGGCGTGCTGGCCAACGTGCCCGCGCTCCTCGAGCGGTCGGCGACGTCGGGCGTCGGCGCGTTGCCGGGTACGCTGGACCGGCGGACGAGCCGCGAGGTGCTGCAGTGCCTCGCGTACGGCACGTCCAAGGCCTGCTCCGTCGACGCGGCCGTCGCGTGCTGCCGGCGCTGGGCCGACGCCTGCCCGCGGTCGCGGGACTGGTGCGAGGCCCAGCGCGGCAAGCTCGCGGAGCTCGGGCGCCTCAAGGCCGCGGGCGACGCGGCGTTCCGCGGCGGCGACGCGCGGAGCGCGGAGGCGTGGTACGCGAAGGCGCTCCAGCTGGACGACGACCACCCCGTGCTCCACAACAACCGCGGCGCGGCGCTCCAGGCCATGGGCGACGCTTTGGGCGGCGCCAACGCGTGCCTCAAGGCCTTGGAGAAGATGCCGCGCTACCCGAAGGCGCGGCTCCGGCGCGCGCGGTGCCTGGCGCAGGCCGCGGCGGTTTCGGGGCACGAGCGGCAGAAGCAGGGCGAGCCGTTGCGGTTGGAGGCCAAGGCCCTCGACGACAACACGGTCGTCAAGCGCCTCGAGCAGTCCGTCGCGGAGTTCGAGGCCTACTTCGAGGACTGCGCGGCCTTCCGCCTCAAGACGCAGGACTGCGGCCGCGACGCGCCGCCGCCGCTCGTCGCGGACCCGGCGGCGACGGCGGAGCTGAGGGACGCCGAGGGCCGGTTGCGGGCCGTGCTCCACGACATCGACGCGCGGCGGAAGCGCCGCGCGAAGATGGACGCGGACGAGCGCGAGCGCGAGATGTACGACGAGTACCAAAAGTACGTGAAGCAGTTCGCGCAGCGCCAAAAGGCCGCGCCGCCGCCGGCGAACGCCAAGGGCCCGCCGCCGGGCAGCCGGCCCGCCGGCGCGCGGACGGCGGCGCCGCGGGCGCCGGGCAAGACGTTCTACGACGTCCTCGGCGTCGGCCGCGACGTCACGGCCGCGCAGCTCAAGAAGCGGTACCGCCAGCTCGCGCTCAAGCTCCACCCGGACAAGAACCGGGACCCGAACGCCGAGGAGCAGTTCCGCGAGCTCCACGCGGCCTACGAGGTCATCAACGACCCGAAGCAGAAGGAGCTCTACGACCTCGACACGTTCGGCGAGCCGTAACCGGATTTTACTAGACGACCGTCAGCGCGGGCTCGCGCCGCGGCGGCCGCGGGAGGAGCGGGTTCTCGAGGTCCGAGTCGCCGCGGCGGCGGCGGCGGGCCCCGTCGTCGTGTTCGCGCGGCGCCGTCTGCGCCGCGGGCAGGAACCGCTTGAAGAAGCCGCCCGCGCGCGTCGGGTGGCACGAGCCGCCGAGGACCGCGGGCGCGGCGCCGTCGCGGCGCCGCCGCCGCGCGCGGCCGCCGCGGAAGCAGCGCCGGTAGCACTCGCGGAGCCCCAAGAACGCCGCGAAGAGGGCCACGTAGGCCGTCGTGCAGAGCCAGAACGTGCGGTAGGCGAGCGGGTTGTTCTCCTCGGGGATGTCGTTGAAGTTCATGCCGTAGACGCCCGTCATGAACTGCATGGGCAGGAAGATGCAGGTCACGACGGTCAGCGCGTACATGGTGCGGTCCATGCGCCGCTGGTGGAAGCGCTCGAACTCGTCGTCGAGCACCTCGCACTCGCGCAGCAGCGCGTTGAAGTCGTCCTGGAGCTCCTCGACGTTGTCGACGGCGTCGCGGACGAACGAGTTGTAGCGGTCGCCCAGGAGCGCGTCCTTGTCGTCGATGAGCTTCGTCAGCAGGCGGTGCAGGGGCTTGGCCAGCCGGCTCAGCCGCTCCAGGTCGAGCTTGAGCGCCCGGAGCTCGCCGAGGTCCGACTGGTAGCCGGACGACCGGAGCTCCCCGCGCTGCGCCGCGACGGCGCGGTGGAAGGCCGCGGCGACGGGGAACGTCGAGTCGACGACGGCGTCCAAGATGCGGTAGGCGAGGAAGGGCGCGCCCTCCTCGCGGAGCTTCGTGTAGCTCTTCCGCAGCTCGGCGCGCACGCGGCCGCTCCAGTGGCGCGGCGCGCGCTCGTCGGCGAAGGTCACGAGCGTGTCGCCGCCGCGCAGGGGGACGAAGATGGACACGTTGTGGATGGCGATGGCCGGCGTGAGGCCCGAGTCCTCCGGCGCCGCCGCGCCGACGCGGAACACGGGCGCGACGATGTGGAGGTGCTCCGCGTAGCGCTCCGCCTTGGGCCGCTGCGACTGGGTGAGGGCGTCCTCGAGGGCCAGCGGGTGGAGCCCGAACTTGACGCCCAGCAGCTTCAGCGCCGCCTCGCCGCCGCGCGCCTCGATCCACCGCGTCCGCGCCCAGTCCGCCTTCCCCGACCGCAGGAACTCGCGCGTGCCCCGGAACTCGCCGGCCGTGCACGTGTTGTCGCTAAAGTCCGTGACGCTGTAGCTCACGGGGAGGTCGCCGCAGCCCGCCGGCGGCAGGAGCTGGTCGTACATGAGCGACCGCGCCGCGTCGACGAACGCCGCGAAGTCGACCTGGCGCTCGAGGTCCTGCGCCTCCGGGGCCTCGTCCCCGAAGGGCGGCGGGCGGGGCCACTCGAGGGACCGCGCCCGCGGCGACTCGGGCGCGGGCGGGGGCGACGCCTGCGCCCGCGACCCCTCGCGCAGCGACCCGACGGACGACGACCGCGGGCCGCCCAGCCCGTACTTCGTGAGCGTCGGGTAGACCTCCCCGAAGGAGATGCGCCCGTCGGCGTCCTGGTCCGCGCGCATGAAGATGGTCCGCAGCCGCTCGTGGGACAGCGACCACCATTCCTCCAGCTCGAGCTCCTCGCGCTCGAGCTCCCCGAAGGCCGACTCGGCGCGCGTGCCCTTGGCCTTCCACAGCTCGCTCGGCACGCTCCAGGACCGCGCCGTCGTCCCGGGCGAGGGAGGCCGCGGCGGCGGCCGCGGCGACTCGTGCGGCGGCATGTCACCGGCGGGCCGCCATTCTGGGCGTGAAGCAGGCGCGCCGGGGCTGCCGAAAAAGGGGCTCTTTACGCTTTCACTCTTGTTTTTGGCCGGGTTCAAGCGCTCTGCATCATCCCCACGGTGCCGTGGCGAAGTCTCGGCATGGTCCTAATGGGCTACTGCGACGCCTGCCGCGGCCTGCCGTCGCACACCAATCCGCTGATCGCCTGCGCGTCGTGCCCGCGGCGCTTCCACGCGGCCTGCGCCGGCGTCGACGTCGACGCCGCGACGCAGGCCGCACCCTGGTCCTGCGACTCCTGCGCGCCGCCGCCGACGCCGCCGCCGACGCCGCCGCCCGTCGCCGTCGTCGACCTGAGCGACGGCTCCGCCGTCGCGGCGCACGCGCCGGCGCTCGCGGCGGCGCTCCTCGGCGTCGGCGCCGTGCAGCTGATCCTGCCGCCGGCGCTCGCGGCGCTCAACGCGCGCGCGTTCGAGCTCTGGGCCGAGTTCTTGGCCAAGCCGGAGGCCTACAAGGCCGCGTTCGCCATCGCCGACGGCGCCGTCGCCGACGGCTACCACGCGGTCGGCGCCGTCGCGCCGTACTACAACGCGCACCGGTCCGGCGTCATCTACGAGGGCGACGCGCTCGCGCCGCTCCTCGCGGGCGTCGACTTCGAGGCCCGCGTCGCCGAGTGGCGCGACGCCTGCCGGGCGCTCGCGGCGGACGTCCTCGACGCCGTCGCGGGCGAGCGCGGCGCGCCGCGGGGGCCGTTCGCGGCGGGCGGCGCCTTCGACGCGCGGCGGGGCGGCCAGTTCCACGTGAAGCGGACGCACTGCGCCGCGGCGGACGGCGCCGTGCTGCTGCCGCCGCACCGGGACCCGAGCCTGCTGTCCATGGTGAACCACGTCGCGCCGTCGCCCGTGGCCCCGGGCGGCGCGGGGCTGGAGATCTACGGCGGCGGACGCTACCGGCCCATCGCCGTCGCGGGCGTCGGCGTCTGCACGATCCTGGCCGGCAGCCTCTTGGCGTCCGTGCTGCCGGGCGTCGTCAGCCCGAAGCACCGCATCGTCGCGACCTTCGACGCGGACACGCCGCGGCTCGCGGCGACGTTCTTCTTCCAGCCGCGCGACGACGCGCGGATCTGCGACCTCCGCGCGCCGGAGAAGGCGCGCCGCGGCGCGCCGACCTACGCCCAGTGGCGGAAGAAAGCCTACGGCCGCTACTACAAGGCGACGCAGAGCCGCCTCGCGAAGCTGGAGGCGCGGGAGGAGCTGCGGTCGCAGTCGCGATAACGCTACGTCCGACTAGAACGCGGCGCCGCCCGGCGCGACGACCTGGGCCTGGAGCACGGCGAGGGGCGCCGCGGCGGGCACGTGCCAGCCGTACTCGAGCTTCTGGCCCGCCGCGTCGACGGCGTAGATCCGGGGCGCGGGCTCGCGGCCGTCCTCGTCGACGCGCCAGCCCGTCGCCGACGGGTAGTCGAGGCAGCAGGCCGAGCTGTAGAGGTCGCCCGCGTTCTCCTCGAGCTTGTCCTTGTCGCCGATGAACCAGTTGTAGCGGTTCGTCCGCGCGCGGACGAGCACGTATTGTCCCATGCGGTAGAGCCTACCAAGCATGACGGTGACGAATTCTCATCGTTTTCCCACCCCACATCTCTCAAAAATCGTCACGGCCACAGGACGCTGGGTAGAGCGGCGAACCGTCGTGCGTGCCCTCGCGCGCGTACTGGCCGTTGCACGGCGCGTAGCCCGCCCCTTCGACGACGAAGGCCGCGGGGCCCTCGTCGATGGCCCGGAAGCAGGGCACTGGCTCACACCCTTTGGGGCCCGCGTCCCAGCCGAAGAGCGGCGGCAGCCGGGTATCGTCGCCGTCGAGCTGGCGGTAGTAGTCGCCGCCGTCCCAGAGCTCGTCGAGCTTGTCCTCGTGGACGATGCACCAGCCGCCGGAGTAGCGCACGAGCCACAGACCGGGCTGCTCGAAGTGCTCGTAGTACGGCTTGAGGCCGACGTCGAGGTTCGCGAGCCCGCCGCGGACGTAGACGCCATTGACGACGGGGTTCCCGGCGCCCGTGACCTCGTAGCCATAGACGCCGGCGCCGGTGACGACGCGCACCTCCATCTCTTCGAGGAGCTGCTCGTCGGCCTTTTCGGAGCTCGCGGCGCTGCCCATCGTTACAGCTGTGCTTGGGCGCGTCGCAACCGCGGTTCAGGAGGCAATTTGGCAGCTCGCAGCCGTATGCTAGGAGGCAATTGCGGCGCGTTGACAACCGCGTGTTCAGGAGGTAAATTTGTAGCTCGCAGCCGTATGTTCAGAAGCAATTGCCGCGTCCATGTGTGGATGGCGCTAAAACGAACGGCAACTTGGTCAACCTTTGCATTCTCTAATTGTGGTCAACAAGCATGGACCCCTAAAAGAGCACCCATGGGCTCCTCGTTCAAGGACTTTGTGCGCGCGCGCCAGGCCCAAAAGGCCGGCGCGGCGGCGCCGCCGCCGGAGCGCGGCCTCGTCGCCGCCGGACCCGGGTCGCGCGTCCCGCAGTTCGTCGGCGGCGGCGGCGGCGCGCCACCGAACGCGACGAGCAGCCCCGCGAAGGCCCGGCGCGCGGCGGCGAGCCCGACGACGAGCATCACGACCTTCGCCGCGGCGCTGCGCGCCGTCGCGGAGGCCTTGAAATCGGCCGAGGCGGCGCCGGCGCACGGGCCCCTGGCGACGTGCGTCGGCGAGCGGGGCCTCGAGCGGCGCCTCGGCAACGTCGTCGGCGCGCGCGAGGCGTTCGTCGACGCCGCGGCGCGCGCGTGGCGGCCGCCGGAGCGCGGCGCCTGCGACGGTGAGACCTGCGGCGTCTGCGGCGTCGCGCTCGCGACGTCCGGCGGCCGCGAGGACGTCCGCGCCGTGGACCGCGACGACCCGGAGGGCTGGGAGGAGCCGCACCGCGCGCCGTCGCGCCCGGCGCCGGTCCACGCCTGCGACAACCGGCTCTGCCGCTTCGCGCTCCACCTCGGCGGCGGCTGGCGGCGCCTGAGCGAGGCCGCGCGGCGCGACGGCCGCGTCGACGAGAGCTTCAAGCTCGGCTGGGCGGCGCTGACCTGCGGCGTCGCGGCCTTCGAGGGGTCGCGGTTCCACTACGGCGTCGCGGAGCTCCTCGAGAGCTGCAAGATCGACAACTTCCAGCAGTACGCGGCGCTGCTCTTCTTCCGCTACCTCCGCGCGCGGCCCGCGGACCCGCGCGCGGCGCTCTGCTTCGCCCTCGCGGCGCGGGAGCGCGCCGCGGCGTCGCCCGGCGACGCGGGCCTCGCCGGGGCGGCGGCGGGCCACGTCGCCCTCGCGTTCCGCCGCTTCGCGGGTCGCGGCGGCCGCGAGCTCGAGCGGTGCGCGCTCGTCGCGGCCGCGGCGGCCCTCGGGCCCGGCGGCGCGGACGCGTTCCTCGCGGACCGGGCGGCGGCGCGACGCACGTTGGCGACGCAGGCGCTCGGCTGCTGCGCCCAGGTGCTCGCGCGCAAGGGCGCGCCCCCGAACGTGAACCAGATCGCGAACAAGGTCGAGCTCGCCAAGTTCGACCTGCGGGCCGTGCCGCCGACGTTGGTCGTCGGCGCCGAGCCCCTCGATCCCAAGTGCCTCACGCGGCCGACCTGGGTCGTGCCGGCGGCGGCGGAGTTGCGGTCCGCGGTCCGGGCGTGGCTCGACGCGAACGGCCTCGCGGGCCACCGATCCTGGTTCATGAAGGCGGCGTCCGTGGAGTACGGCGCGGGCGTCGAACCGCTCGACGTGCCCGCGGACGCGCTCGCGGACGCGGCGCGCGCGCGGATCCTCGCGGCCGTCGACGGTGGCGACGCGCGCGACTGCAAGTGGGTGCTCCAGCCGGCCGTGGCGCCGGCGCTCGTCGAGGGGAAGAAGGTGTCCGTGCGGGTCTACCTCCTGCTGACGCGCGCGCGCGGCCGCGACGCGCCGTTCCTCTACGGCGAGGGTCTGGTGAGCCGCGCGCGCGACGCGCACGGGTCGGGCACCAAGGCCGCGGCCGTCGTCCACGGCGGCGAGGGCGAGCACATGGACGCGTTGAGCGACGTGTCCGACGCCTACTGGCCCGCGATCCGCGCGGCGACGCGCGAGCTCCTCGGCGCCGGGTCCGCCAAGCTCTGGGAGCGCGCGGCGGCGGGCTGCGACTACTGGACGCTGCTGGGCCTGGACTTTTTGCCCGCGAGCGACGGGAAGCTCTGGCTCCTCGAGGCGAACACGGGGCCGCGGCTCTGGTTCGACGAGGCCCGCGCGGCGGGCCCGCGCGACGACGCGCCGCCGCCGTCCGCGTCCCTCGCGCGCGTCGACGCGCGCGTCACGCGGCCGCTGCTCCTCGACCTCGCGGAGCTCCTCGCCCACCTGCGCGTCGACGGCGGCCCGCCGCCGTCCCCGGCGAACGCGTGGCGCGCGCTCGATGTGTAGCTAGCCCTTATCCGTGACGCGCTTGATGAGGTCCCGCGTCTGCTCCGGGGAGAGCGAGCCCGCGCGCGAGTCCCCGTCCGCGGTCGGCTCCGCGTCCTCCGGCGGCGCGCGGCCCGTGTGGAACGAGTAGAGCGCCGTCGACGCCGTCGACAGCTTCTCCGACAGCGTCTTCGTCTTCGTCTCCGCGATCATCGCGTGCAGCGCCGCGCGCTGCTCCGCGGCGCGCGCGTCCATCTCCGCCTGGCGCAGCCGCGGGATGCGCGCGGCCTCCTCGCGGCTCCGCTGGAGCCGCTCGTCGCGGCCGGGCAGGATCTCCGTGCCGGCCAGCAGCACGCCGCCGACGACGAGGCTGCCGGAGAGCGCGAGGAAGGTCGCCTGCCTCGGCGGGAGGCGCAGGAACGCCGCCCAGGCCTGCTGGCACTCCTTGGCCGTCCGCATGAGCATGCCGTGGGCGCGCATCGTGTGCGAAGTTGCGATTTTGAGCTGTGCACGTGCGAGGGGGGCTGCACGCTGCCGGAAGCTCCCGAATCGCGTGTGTGAACGCTTGTCTTCGGCGCCCGCTGCTAGCACATGCCAGAGCTGAGAACTGCGCGGGCCCGGAGAGCAAAGCAACATTGGCCTGAGCCACGGCATCATCTCCGTGCCGGCCGACCCGCGCACGGCGTCGAGCGCCGGCGCAGCGTCGGACGCCATCTCCGCTTCGAGCACCGCGTCGGCAACAGCGTCGAGCGTCGACTAACACACGCGACACCCAACACACCCATGGGCCGCCGCATCGCGTCCGACGGCTCGATCGTCGGCGACGACTCCGCGGACGCCGGCGGCCACGCGTGGTACTTCATCGTGCCCTTCGTCGCCGCGCTCGTCTTCGGCGTCCAGGGCCTCGTCGTCGCCGGCGTCGCCTCGGCGGTGCTCTACTCGAGGCGGCGAAGCGCCGCGGCGTCGAGCGCGCCGTCGGCGGACAGAGTGCACGGCATGGCGGACCTGCCGAAGGAGGCCGCGGGCGGGTGATGCGCGTAGGCGCGGCGCCGCCCGCGCCGCGACCTCGAGGCGCCGACCCCCCCCCGCGCGCGCGCGACGTGACGGACCGCGGCCCTCCGGAGCCGCCGCGATCCCGAAAAAGCGCGCGCGTCCGAGCGCGTAAGGACCTCTCTGTGTAGATTAGAGGCCGTAGTCCGCGCACGTGCAGTTGTCCTCCTCGGGCGCCTCGGTCGCCGCCGCGCGCTTGGCCACGCTGCAGTCGACGGAGATCCAGCACGAGTGGCCGCGGCACATGTAGCCCGGCCGCTGCGGGTCGCAGGAAGCCTCCTTGAGCCGCGCCCAGGGGTTGTCGCCCTTGCGGCGGCACTTGGGCTCCGCGTAGCACGCGTCCTTGGGCCCGCCGCAGGCGACGCCCTGGCTCAGGCACACGCGCTTGCCGTCGCCCCGGCCGAGGAGGCGCCGCCCGCGCCGCGCGGGCCCGTCGGAGCGAGGCGCGTCGCCGGGGAGCTCGTCGACGCGGGCCTGGAACGCGGCGCAGGCCGGCGGGAAGTCGTAGCCGAGGCAGACGAAGTCGTGCGCGAGCGTCGCGCACAGGAGCGCCAACACGTCCGGCGCGGCCTCGAGCGCCGCGAGCAGCGCGGATTCGGACGGCGCGCCGCCGGCCTCGGCGTCGCCGTCCTCGGCGACGGCCCGGAGGCACTCGCCCGCGACGGCCTCGATGCGCTCCGTGCGCTTCTTCGCGCCCGTCGCGTTCGACGGCGCCGCCGCGTTCGCCATGAGCGCCTCGTAGCGGAAGACCTTGAAGTGGGCGAAGCCGGCCTTGCCGCCGCGCGCGGCGGCCTGGAGCAGGGAGCTCTGGGACCGCACGCGCTCGTCGCCGGGGAAGCGGCGCAGGCACGCGAAGTCCGCCGCGTAGGCCCGGACGAGGTCGCCGAGGTCCGCGTCGTGTCGCGACGCCGCGTAGGCCGTCAGCGGCCACGTCGCCTGCCGCGCGGCGTCGGCGAGCGTCGGCGCGCCGTCCGGCGCGTCGAAGAGGCGCCGGAGCGTCTCGCGCATGCCGCTGACGAAGCGCGCGAGGGGCTCGCGGACGACGGCGCCGAGGACGGCGCTCGCGCCGCGGTTCCGCTCGCCGCCGGGCCGGAGCTCGTAGGTCAGGCCCCTCTTCTCCACGCAGGCGACGAAGGCGGGCGAGACGAGGAGCTCGTCGGCGACGCCGGGCAGCCGCGCGAGCTCGAGCGTGATCATGCCGTCGAGCACGGAGAGCCGCGCGCGGCGGCCCGCGTCCTCGGACCGGAACGCGCGCGCGGCGAAGGCCCGCTCCTGGCGCACGGACGCCGCGCAGATGGCGAGGCGCGGCCAGCCGCGGCACTCGCCGCACCGCGCGACCTGGGCGCGCTCCGCCGCCGGCGCGGGCCCCGGGGCCCCGGGACC